AGAATCACTCTCACCCATCTTCATCCTTAAGCAAAATATACAGAGTCCTTCATAAGTGGGGAAAAAATCAGTAGATTATAACTTGTATTAGTCCTATTATGATATGTCTACTTCTTATTCTGCAAGATCACTGACATGCATGCTGACTTCCAGGGTCTCCTGCTGCTTATTTTAACTCACTTATCTGCTAATGGGAAACATTATTCTCCTTCCACCTAAATTAAGCAAAAAGCCCAGGAGTGGCTAGAGTGGCTAGAAGGAACTGTTGCAGCCAACAGCTTTTTCTCTGAATAAACGCAAATATGGGTGGGTGCAGGGATTTAGAATTGAAGAAGGAGAATTAACTCCTACCATCGCCACCCATGTCATTTTCTTAAATTAAATCATGCATCAAAACCAATTAACTTCAGAAATGGAAATACAATTTCTGTCCCAGACAGGTTTTGCACCATAGAAGGCGGTGGTTGGATACCTCCAGTTTTCCCAATGGGTAGCAAGGAAAATATGATTTGGTCTATCCCTATTTCTCAAAAAGCTCAACTGAATGTTTTCTTCAAGGTAGTAGCCACTTTTGTGTATTACAGTCAAGTATTTTCTACTGTCCTAAGTTATTCCTAGACCACTACACTGGCAACACAGAAATCCTGATGTACAACTATTTTTCTTCCTTTATCCCTAAATGATGTCACATTTCAGCTCTCCAAATGCTTACTTGATGCAGTGCAGTTAATCCATCTTCATTGCACAGATCTGGACTGAAGTCGTTGTTCAATAAATAACAGACTGAAAGAGACAAGACAAAGATTTATCCTCAGAAAAGTTTATTACATTTCATACTTAGATGGAACAAACAATTGGCCCCAAAGGGAACAACTATGTCTAAAATGCACAAACTAATAAGCTGAATGTGCCTTATATTATTACTGAGTTCAACAGAACAAGCACTATCTTAAAGCCAAGAACTTTCTCTCAACAATTGTTTGAAAAGCTATCTATTCAGTTCTCTCCAACTGCACTGTTACAGCATGCTATTGCTCTAGTGTTTAATTAACACTGAAACATCTGGCAGCCGGATCCTATTTCCCACTCACAATTATCAGAGTTTCATTGCTTCAAATCAAGCACTGGTAATGTGCTGTCCTTCAAAGTTACTGAACTTCAGTTCTGATGAGTTTAAATCAGTATGGTCAATGGTGATGCACAATGAGACTTGCACTTCAACAATATTTGAAAGGTTGCCCAGATATTTTGCAAGAGGACTTCAAATGTGCCTCCTGGTCCCTAAAGATGAACCCGGCATTAGATGGTTAGAAATGTACAGAAAAATGAGAACTTTGGAAGTTAACATCTTAGTTGCTCATCTACATCAGGAAAGCAGTGTAAAGATGCAAAGCATTGGTTCTTCACCACAGACATCAGATTCAAGGGATTTAAAGAAACTATAAGCAGAATAACAAAATAGTTGTGTTTGACAGGGAAAGTGGAGTGAACAATTGGAAGCTACTATATACATACTGTAAATGGTAAAAAACTAGCATATGAATTTATGTACTCTGGTAGACTATTTACTAAAGATTAAAATGGGTGGAGAAATTTTAAGATGTGCAAATGCTGTAGAAAGATAGTGAATAATATGCAGTTTGTTTCAAAGAATGAATGTTTGTCAAGAGAAATGAAAATGTCTTTGTATAGGGGGATGCTTCTGCCCACTTTGTCATATGGAACTGATAGTTGAGTATCTCAGAGAAAACATAAAAAGAAACTGAAGGAAGTAAAAATTGGGGCACTTAAGAAGAATGCATGACAAAGCAGGAAGAGACAGGGCCAAAAATGAAAGTGTGATGAATCACTGTGGACTGAATACAAAAGTAGTGACCAGCGTGAATGAAGTATGTTTAGGTTGTTTGGTTATACAGAGATAATGAATTAACATCAATTCACTGCAGGATGAAAGGCTCTTCTCTGAAGGTTATGGACTGTAATCTATCATGCTGGTCCAGTGTGGGATAGATAGATACTTTTCAACTTCCCAGTCTAAGGCTGAGAGAGAATCACTGGACCAAAGTGATCCAGCTAGTTTCCATGCTTAAGGGAGGACTAGAACCTGGGTATCCCCTCCCCTAGTCCAGCATCTTAATCACTACAGCACATTGGCATAAATATATATAGCAGTGTGGTATGGTGGTTAAGTGAGTATGGATATCTGACAGAGAGAGAGAAGAAATCTACATATGGAAAAATGACTGAGTCAAAGAAGAAAACAGTTGTGGTTGGATGGAATTGATGAGTTCCTCAAAGAGAAAGAGAAAGAGATTAAAAGTATAAAGAACAAAAGGCAATGCATGAATGAGTATATGGAAATGGTGGAAGGACAGTTTGCAATAGAAAGGTAGAAAGATATAGTGCTATTTCTTTGCCCATTACTTCTCATCACTGCACTTTGTATAATGTTTACCCCAAAAGTAAATAGCACGATTACTATGTACAAACATTAATGTATATGTACAGGTGGTCCTCACTTAACGACCTCTTGTTCAGTGACCGTTCAAACTTACAACAGTGCTGAACAAGTTGTAGTTATGACCAGTCCCCATATTTACACTGGTCAGTGTCCTGCGTCACATAATTGCCATTTGAGACCTTGTTTGCTGGCTTCCTATAGGCAAGGTCAATGGGGAAGCTGACAGGAAATCACAAATGGTGACCATGTAATGTTCTTGCTTAACAATCTGCAGTGATTGTCTTAAAGATGGCAACCAGAAGTGCTGGAATTTCCATCAGTAAGTGGCACAGTCATGTAACATTACACTTTATGACTGAATCACTTAGCAATGGAAATTTTGGTCCCAATTACCTTAAGTGAGGACTACCTGTATTCATTTTTATCTATTGAATTAAAAATATCTGAACTGAAGATGCACAACTATCTTGACTGCTTGTACGTTTTTGTGAATGAGGCAGGACAAATGAATAAAAGCCTTCTTTGCAAGCACTAGTTGTCCAAGATGGTCAGCCATGACCTCCTCCAAGATACTTCATATGCATGCTCAGTCTTCACTGAGCTGCAAGGAGTCCTTGGTGCTCCCTGAGCTTCGTTCTTTGCTTGCAGACATTTCAGTACCCAGTTAGATAACATTATCAGTATTAGTGAGGGTGGGATTTGCTGCCTGTTTATATACAGTAGCTTGCTCTGCCAGTTTTGGTGAGGTGTGGTTTACTCCTTGGTAGTTCCTTGATTAGGGTATTGTTTTCTGCTTGATTGTTTGCCTGATGTTAATTCTTACATATCTGGGTGTTGGCTGCTGGAGAGGATGTTTTCTGGTCTTTTTGTTTCCTTCTTAGCCTTTTTATTGTCTCTTTTGAATGGTGTGTAAATATAGTTTATTTCTATGTATCTACTGATGGCTGATTTGCTTGAATTCCAAGCTTTCAGGAATTCCCTCACATTTTTGGATTTAGCTTGGTCTAAGATGCTCACAGTTTTCTAACTGAAACTATGGTTGAGTCTGTCCATGTGTTGTGAGATTAAGGACTTTTCATCGTGCCTTCTAACTGCTAGCTGGTGTTCATGGATACGCTCCGCTAGTCTTCTGCCTGTCTGTCCCACATAGTGGCTGTTACAGTCCTTACAACTGTGTGTTGTGGGGAGAAAAACAATATTTTTATGCTAACAATGTAAATTGTTAGGATTAACTTAATAGTTTTATGAATAATTATAGGACCCCAATAATATAATTTATCTTGCAGTATTGTTTTATTCAGAGTACATTTTTATTATTCAAGTAAGTTGTTTGTTACTGTCTACTGTACAATATCCATAATAAAAGAATTTCTAATACATATTGGATGGAATAAAATTTATTCAGACGTTCTGAAAGTTCCTTGTGTGTGTATGTGTGTATGACATGAAAAATTACAGCTTCTTTTCATATTGACCAGTTAAACAATCTATTCTATTTGCACAGTATCACATACACACAAACATATACTATATCTATATCTATCTATATATTATGATTTGCTTAGATTAATATTTCCTATTTTGTTGCCTTCCACATGCATTGGGCTATACCTGACATGACCATGCTAGCTGGGGATGAAAAAAGCAGCAATTCATCATCTGCACATCTGGAAGGTGCTAGACAGGAGAAATCTGGGTTAGACGTCCTTCCTTCTTCAGTATGCATTAAAAATGGACACTTTTAGTTAATTCTATTTAAAATGTCATCATAGAGTCGAGAGAGAGAGAGAGAGAAAGAGAGAGAAAACTTACATTTGGGAATTATTCATAAATTCGTTTTAGGGAAGACTTTAAATAGCCAATAGCATTTGCAAACATATGATAGACTTTTACTTTCCTTTATGATTTCCCCCTGCTTTTCCTTTCTCATCTGAACAATGCATTCTATTTATTTTTCAACTCATCCAAAGAGGTAGTTTGTGCAACCCAGAATGTATGTGTGTTTCTCCTGCCCGCCTTGGAGGAACTGACTAATAAATGTGTCACTCGCCAGTGACTCTGGATTTTCTGATTTACTTTGGATGCAATTTCCATTAGGATGCTTAATTCAATCTGGCTCATTTAAAAGCCATTGTGTACTAATGACATGAGTATCTGTAATCACACTGGCTCTGCTTCCAGTGATATAGCCAAGTTGCTACATGAAAATCAAATTTCATCAGTTCTTTTTACCTCCCTTATATTTTATAATACATTTCAGAAGAAAATAACCTTGCCTGTTCTGTTCTTTCTTCTACCACATGTTCTTTAGCCCTTGGATATACACACGCATCCAAAAATCTTAAGTGTACAGTGGGATGTTATACCTAATTTGCTGAGCATCCCACAATGCAAACCAGTGTTATCTAGAAAGATACACATGGATATGGACAAAGACTTCGGTTTCTTATTCCTAATATTTGTATTAGAGGTACAGGTGAAACTCAAAAAATTAGAATATCGTGCAAATGTTCATTTATGTCAGTAAGGTAACTCAAAAGGTGAAACCAATA